TAGGCCCGCGGAGCAGCCGGGCCAGATGTGCAGCCCGGCAGCTGGGCCGCGCACGGGGACGACCGGGTCGCCCCATCAGGATCCATGGAGCGGCTCCTGGCGCGGCTCCGCAGAGCTCATCCCGAGCGCTGACCCTGGCCCGGCACGACGGCTCCGCGTGCTTGGAGCTGCCGGCGGGAATCGGCCTTGCAATGGGGAGAAGCAGGTTTGCAAGCGCACACATCCAGGACGAGGCCACGCTGCTCGTGTTCCTCGCTGCCTTGTTTTGAGGTTTCGTTTTTGCATTTGTGCTCTGGAAGATCCCAGGCCATGTGGAGAGCATGAACGGGTGGCAGAGCAGGGGATGGCGACTGGGACAGCCCACAGGGGAATAGTTTGTAGTGAGGGACACGGCAGGTCAGCAGGGCTTGGACACAGGCCGGCTGCCCTGAATTGTTGCTGTTGGACAATTCAGGAGGATTGGGATTGGATTGGGGAGGCACCTGCACGTGTCTCCCACAGGAGCCCCGTCTGTCAGCAGCTCAGCGGGCTGGAGGAGCTGATGGGACGTGGTGCTGAGCAAGGGACGGGACGGTGTAGGGCGGCAAATCCGGGGTCCTGCAGGGCATGTGGCACAGAGCGGCCGTGGCCCAGGCCCGGGGTGGCACCTGCAGATCTGACGCTTTGGGGCTCCAGAGCACGGCGGATCCTGCCGTTTCCCGGCCCGGAGCTCGGCGGGGCCACGGCACCCGTGGCCATTGGGGCACCACCAACACGTCACGACGACTGTGGTTCCGTGCCTTGCGGCGAGCCCATCCCGCGCCCCGCTTCCCAGCGGTTCATCCCGGGACACGCACGTGGGGCGCGCGGGGGCCCCGCTGCCGTTTGCCGCTGGCGGCGGGCGGGACGGAGCAGAGGGTGCTGCAAGACGGGGCCCGCCTGGCGGCTGGCGCGGCCCACGCCTGCCTGCCGCCCTCGCCCGGCCGCACCGCGCGGGGCCCGTCCCATCCCCGTTCCAAATGCGCTGGAATTGCCCCCTGCAACGGCCCCTCAGCTCCTTGGGGGCCGGGAGACACTGGGAGGGGGCCCCGGCCCCCGCTGCACCTTGAGACCCTGCAGCATGGCCAGGATAGGGCCCTGCGACGTGGGCTGTTTTGCAAGGCGGCCGCAAGGATGACGAGCGCACCGGGGCGAACGCAGCGGCCTCCCGAGGTGCTGAGGAGCCCGGCCCCTCGGAGGGGTCCCCGGGGCTCCGCGTGCGCTGCGAGGGCAGGCGGAGCGAGCTGCCCCTTCCCTGGGCGCAGCTCTCCCTGCCAGCTCCCAGCGAGGATGCCAGGCACAGCCGCGCCAGACACTGTCTGTCCGGTCAAAAGGACACGGATGGGGGCGGCAAAAACGCTCGAGTGCCGCAGTGCTGCCAGATGCAAATTGGTAGTCGAGTCACTCATCCAGACAATGGGGTCCGGCTAATCCTTTTACAATGGGACTAATTGCTAATCACACCGATTTCACACTGGCTGTTCCCCTGACAATGAGGCTCCGTGGAGCAGGGCTCTGGGGGGGTGCAGAGGCTTCCTGGGAGCTCCGTGGCTCCCAGCGCGTCCTGCGCGGGCCAGCGTGAGCAGACGGGCACCGGGTCGGCCCCGGCTCTGCTGTGCTGGGAAGCCTCCGGCAGCCAAATGCTGGGAGCTCCTTCCTCCCGCTGGCGCCGGCTCCTGGGCTCCGGTCTGCAGCTGCCGCGGGCAGGGGGATGCTGCCGGCCCGTGTGATGCGCTGGCGGGGGGGCCGGTGGGGCAGGGAGCACCGCGCTCCACTGCGGGCACAGGCAGGCTCCAGGGACAGGCACGGAGACGGGCTCCTCTTGCCCGCGACCTGCTGCCTGGCTGGGCCGAGGTGTGCAAAGGGCCGCGTGGCAGCGGCCCCGGCCTTGCTCCCCCGCCGCAGCGCCGCACGCATCCAGCCAGCAGCACAGACGTTAACTGGGGCGGCCAGCAGCCCCGCGGCCGGGCTGTGACATCCCGTGCACATCACTGCAATGCCCGGGAGCGGAGCCCAGCTTTTCGGCGTCTGCAATCAGCTCTTTGCATGGGTACCTTTGCCCAGGGTTGCTCCTGGAGCTGCCTGCAGCGGGGGGCGTCTGGGGCAGCCCGGTGTCTGGCTCCGGGTGCTAATAAGCTCTTGGCCCGCCTCCGTGCAGCCGGCTGCCCTGCCAAGGGGCACCCCGAGCCGCGCGGCCGGGTGCTAATGAGGAGAGCGCCAGACTTGCCCGCGCCTCGCGCTTAATTGCTGCTGTCTTTTGGCTCTTAATGAAGCTCTGCGGCTGCCGCTGCGCGGCTCGGCGAGGCCCCCCTCCCTGCTGCGCGCGGGCAGCCTGACCCGCCGGCTGCCCCGGCGCCGTCGTCCTCGCCCCACACCAGCCCGGCCCCGGGGGCTGCCGGGGGCGCTCGGCTCGTGCTGCCCGTCGGGGCCGCCCGGCGTCCCTGCCCCGCTCGGGCATTTCCCGGTGCCGCCGCTGCCGGGGCAGGGCAAGGCTGGCAGCTCCTGTCACCAGGGCTGCTGCGCCCTGCCCTTGTCCTAGGGCACCGAGCGAGCGTCGCCTCCCTGCAGTCCAGTGCTCCCAGGGCTCTGCAGCTGCAGCCCCGTGCAGGGGCAGACACGGTGTCCCCAGCATGGTGTCCTGCACGGAACATTCCATTCCTGGGGCAGGAGGGAAAGCCTGAAGCTAGCTAGCTTCCTTCCTTCCTTCCTTCTTTCCTTCCTTCCTTCCTTCCTTCCTTCCTTCCTTCCTTCCTTCCTTCCTTCCTTCCTTCCTTCCTGCCAGGCCAGGCAGGCTGCTCCCCGCAGCACCCAGGTGTCCCCGCTCCCCGGTGTCTGTGTGTGGGTGATGTCCCATGGGGCTGCTCCCGGCCCGGCCTCTGCCCCGGCCCCACCAGCACCCGCCCCCGCGCACGAGGGGGTTAACGGCTGGCCCATACCTGCAGTTGCATTTTAAAGATGTGAAATTAAAGCCCGTAATTTATTCTCCCCACACACGAAGGAGCAATTAGTTCTAAACACGGCTTAATCAGTCAGCGCGAGATTGATTTCTGTAGACTTGGATTTGGTGGCTGCTGGCAAGGAGCCAGCCTGGGAGCAATCTCCAAATAAATGAAGTGCAGAGAAGTAAGCCATTACATAATATGATAGATGAGGCTGGAACTCACTCGCCTCTTCATTAGTATTCCTCTGTACGCCGGCAAAGGCACCAAACTTTCTCCTCAGCACCTTGGCTTTCCCACCTCCTCCTCGCCCTGACCCTGCTGCGGCTCTGCTGGGGCCGATGCTGGGGCAGGAGGAGGCCAAGAGCCTCCCTTGGGTGGCCCGTGTCTCCTCCCTGTGCCAGGCAGCTCCAGCACAAGGATTTCTGCATCTTGCACTTACTCCTCTCTGCTCTGCTCTTCCCTGGGCTCTGCAACTTGCCTTTCCCCTTTGAACCCCTGGGAAACCAAGGCACGGGGCTCTAGGAGAGCTTCCAGGGAGCTGCATCGAAGCAGCAGGCAGGGGCCAGGTGTCCCCAGCAGCTCTGGACACCAGTCCATCAGTCTGAGGATGTCAGCTCAGCATCACCCGAGCCCATCGCCCCGCAGCAGAGTGGGCAAGAGCCCAGGCTGATGGGCGCTTGTGGGGCTGGTTCCCACCTGGAAACGAGCCTGAGATGGGCGTAGGGATGCATGAGCTGTGGCCAGACCTGGCAAAGCTGGAGGATCCTGGTCTGCACTGCCCTGCAGGGGCTGCAGCAGCTCATTTAATTCCCCGCTGAGCTCTCGGTGCAAATGTGCATGCGCTGGGCACGCTTGGATTTGGAAAGGGGCTCATGAAGCTCTCTGCTCCAGCTGGTTGAGTTGCAGCAATGACACAGAACAAGAGGAGCAGGATATTGCTCTCCGTGAGAAAATCCCTTGCGGTGCTGGGTGTAGATCCAGAGGCCAGGAGTGTTTGGGGAATGCATTCCCTGGCCAGCCCTCGTGTTGACAGTGGGATTTGCAGCTGGCTTTGCAGATCCTCGGTGTGGGAGTGTCGGGCTCCTGGGGCAGGTGCTGCCTGTTGAGAGCTGGCTCTCCTTGCGAGGGATCGCGGCTGCAGCGAGCGCCCTGCTCTCCCAAGCTCCGGGTTGTGCAAGACTCTCCTTGCACTGCTCGTGTCTGCGTGCGCTGCGGGGATCGAGCCCCTGGCCGCTTCTCAGCGCTGTGGCAGTCCCGCGTGCCTTCTGCCGTGCCCTGCAGCCTAACCCTGCTCTCCTCGTGGAATCACCTTCCTGGAGATGCGGGACGAGGGGGAGCTCGTGGTGCCAGGTAGCAAAAGTGGTTTGGAGCCCGCACGGGCAGCAGTCCTGTGCATTGGTGCCCTGCAGCTCGTGCGTGGCTGGACGGGGCCCTGTCCCTCGTGGGGCTGCGGGGCAGCTGCCCACAGCGCTGCCGTGGAAAGCAGCCCGGGAGCGCTGCAGAGCGGCCGCACTGCCGGGCTCCCCTGCGCTCTGTGGGAGAGGCAGGTCCAGCAGCTCCTCACTGGCATCCCTGGCCTCAGAGAGGAACCCCGCCTGGTGGTCTCTGCTCCTGCTGCACCTGGCACCTTTTTCCTCCCCAGCAGGGCCACTCGTGACTCCTGCCAGTGGAGTGGCAGTCCCCAAGATCTGCTTCTGCCTGTTGTGGGGCTGGAACAGGTGCCCTGGCATGGAAGGACTCCCCTCATACCCTCAGTTGTGCCAAGAGATTCCCTAGCTGATAGATGCAACCAAGAGCCAAGGACCGCTGGTCCTGCAGGTGAAATTTCTGGTAGCGCCATGGGTGAGACCTTCCAGCTGAGGCCTTGGAGCCCCAACAGAGCAAAGACCCCTTGCCTTAGGAAGCTGTGGCGACCCAGGAGATGGAGCCTAGGTTCCCTGAAGGCCCTTGTGTCCCCTCCAGCCCCCCAGGCAGCCCCCACTGTGCCCGTGGTGCTGGCACTAGTGCTGACGGGCTCTTGTGTGCTTGTTGTCTCTGCAGAACTCCATCCGGCACAACCTCTCGCTGCACACGCGGTTCATCCGCGTGCAGAACGAGGGCACTGGCAAGAGCTCCTGGTGGATGCTGAACCCCGAGGGTGGTAAGACAGGGAAGACGCCCCGCCGGCGGGCAGTCTCCATGGACAACAACAGCAAGTTCCTGCGGATCAAGGGGAAGGCCAGCAAGAAGAAGCAGCTGCAGGTGACGCAGGAGCGCGGGGACGACAGCCCTTCGTCGCAGCAGGCCAAGTGGTCGGAGAGCCCGGCTTCGCACGCCAGCGATGAGTACGACGCCTGGGCCGAGTTCCGGACGCGGGCCAACTCCTCGGCCAGCACGCTGAGCGGGCGCCTCTCGCCCATCATGGCCAACCACGAGCCCGATGACCTGGAGGAGGATGATGGCACCCCGTCCTCTCCCCTGATGTACCCCAGCCCCTCCAGCACCATGTCTCCCTCCCTGAACGCCCGCTGCTCTGTGGAGCTGCCCCGGCTCACCGATCTCACTGGCACCATCAGCCTGAACGAGAGCCTCGGGGAGAGCTTGCTGGATGACCTGCAGGATGGCTACAACATGAGCCCTTCGCAGCAGCTTCCCCCGGCCGCCCTGCGGCAGCGCAGCTCCAGCTTCACCTTCAACTCCAAGTGCTCCACCATGGGGGCTGCCGCCAACACCTACTGCGGGACTATCTACAGCCAGCCGGCCATGAGCCTTATGCGGCGCCTGCCCATGCAGACCATCCAGGAGAACAAGCAAGCTACCTTCTCGCCCGTCAGCTCCTACAGGAATGCCTCGCTGCAGGACCTGCTCTCCTCCATCTCCTACGCGCACAAGGAGGGCATGGTCCAGGGGGACCTGCCCGTGCCGCAGGCCAGCCCCATGGTGCCGGCCCGCGGCCACAGACAGAACCCGCTCGTGTGCGGGAGCGGGGAGCAGGGCTTGTCCTCCTACCCAGCCCACTCGGCCTCGCTCATGAAGAGCAACACTTTGTACCACCACCCGTCACCAGCCAGTCACCACCCTGCGGTCAACACCAGTGCCTTAGCTAATCCTGTCAGCCTTATGAGCTTGCCCAGTGACACATGCAGCATGACAGCCATGCCGCACCACGGGCATCTGCATTCCTACGCTAATAACCAAGGGGCACACATGAGCTTGCTGGATTCGCTGCAGGGCCCCTACCCGGGGGCTGTCCACCCCCCCGTGTTGGGCCAAGACAGGTTCCCAGCAGATCTGGACCTGGACATGTTCAACGGGAGCTTGGAGTGTGACGTGGAGTCAATTATCCTGAATGACTTTATGGACAGCGATGAGATGGACTTCAACTTCGACTCGGCTCTTCCACCGCAGAACGCGCTCAACATGCCCACGCTGCCTGGGGGCCCGCAGCCCACTAATCAGAGCTGGGTGCCTGGGTGACGTGCGCCCAGACACCACCGAGAAGTCACAAGGGGAACATTGAGACTAACTTTTTTTTTTCCTTTCTCTTCTGCCTTTATTTGTTAAGATGGGCTAGAGCCATCGGTTTAAACTTGAGATCAACACTAAACACAAACCATAGGGTCAAACATTGCTAGAGGCATAGGGCCCCCAGGCAGCCGGCCAGGAGCGGCCGGGCAGACCATGCCACGAGCGCCCCAGTGGCACCAGTGCTCCGTGGGGTGCTCCCGTGGGTGCTCGCTGCAGGACGCAGGGTGGGCAGGCGGCTGGAGCCACGCGCGGTTCCTCGGGCAGTGCATGGGGCAGCAGGAAGGAAAGGCCTTCCCAGGCAGGTCAGATGTCCCGCTGTGCTGGTGCTGGTTGCATTTCTCCTTGTGTCGGGTGTCCTGGTGCTCGGGGATGGAGCGGTGATGACTGGTGGGCGAGAACCCCCCAAAGGCGGGCATTGCTCAGTGCAGCCCCGTCTGGAAAGAGGTCCTTTTCTCCGTGCCACGTCACAAAATGAGCCTCCAGGTGGAAGTGTCAGGAGCAGGGAACCTGCTTTGGGGCAAGGGGCCTCACCACCGTCCAAACCCTTAGGAGATCCTTATGGGATCTAGCCCTCAGGCTCGCCCGCTCGCACACCCAGTCCATATGCACTGCAGTGGGTTCCTTGTGCGGCTCCAGACGGGTTTTCTTACCAAATCGTGAGAAGGGGGATGAGGGATGGCGGGAAGAGCAGGAGCTCTGCGGCAGCAGCAGCAGCTGCGGCAGCGTTGGGGCAGCCAGGGTGGGCACCAGCCTGCCCAGTGCTAGCCCGTGGCTGGGGGGCCGTGGGCAGCGGCGTGCGGCTCTGCAGGGCACGAGGGGTCCCAGGACGCGTGTGCACGCGCACGTGTGTGACGGGCTCCTGCCGGAGGAGGTGCTGCTAGTCTGGAGGCCCCGTGTCACAGCTGGCCACGGGGACCTCGCAGGGACGGGGAGGGGGGTGTATTTATTTGGTTTCATGCACTCTTTTGCCATTGAGTTACTGCATCGGGAGAAAGAGCCTAGCTTAGGGAGAGAGGAGAGAGCCTGTGGGCGATGCACGTGTCCATCGCAAGTCCCGTCGTGGCTCCCTGTGGGTTTGGGTGTTTGCGCTGGGGGCCTGCGGTGCTGCTGGTCCTTGGGAAGGGTGCCTGCGTGTGCGTGTGTGTGTGTGAGGGTGCCGGGGCCAGGCCGAGGAGAGCACAGCGTGTCCCGCCGTGAGCGAGGGACCTCGGGGTTGCTGAGCGAGGGTCACCCCCTCTACCGCCCCTGCTCCATGGGGAGCTCCTGGGGGTCGTCACCTGCTCCAGTGAGTGCGGCCAGGAGCCAACGTGCCCGTGGGCTGGCCACGCTGTGCTGGGGCTGACAGGACACTGGCCAGTGAGGGGGTCAGCAGGAGCCGGCCAGCTCTGCGGGGCTTAATCCATCAGTCTGGTGAGACCAGGGCCCGTGGGTGCTTGCCCCACCAGTCAGCCTGGCCCTGCTGTGTGGTGGGTGCCCAGCTTTGCCTCGCGCCTTTCTGCAGGGCAGGGAGCCCCAAGCTCGGGGGCCTCGTGCAGAGCTGGCCTGAGGACTCCTGCTCCAGGACAGCCCTGCTGCAGATGCACCAGCACTTTCGTGGTGGTCTTTGGAGTGGGGCAGTCCGTGGGTGGCTGGAGATGCGGGGACGGGGAGGAGGGAGCTGCTCCAACCCCCCGGGCTCCCTGCATGGCCCGTCTTCCATTTGGGCGCCACAGGCCTCGCTAGTCGTTCCGCTGCATGGGCACGGGCCCCCGGCCAGCCCCGTCGCTCCGCAGCAGCACCCGCTGCCCGGCGGGGCGCCCGTCCCACCGAGCCGCAGGGCAGCGCAGCCGCCCGGAGCGGGGCCGGGGGGCCCGTGTCCCCCTCTCCCACCCGTGGTCTGCGGCACGGGGTGGCGGGGCAGCCCTGCGGGATGCCCCTCTCCTCCAGCCCTGGCACGCAGCAGACAGAGTCTCTGAAGACATCCTTACAGGTTAATTATGTTTACATTATTTGATCATGTACAGAATTTAATATATTCTATTATATATAATCTTTCTTGAATGCTTTTTTTAAGAAAAAAAAAAAAAAGAGAAAGAGGATTATTCTTTGGTCGAGATCATCGTTACCGCTTTTGTTTTATACACAGCACCTCTCATTTCAGGCATATTTCAACCATGGGAACCCGATTACGGTCGCAAGTGGCTGTTTCCTGCCCGGCGCTGCCCGTGGGGTGCAGGGGGCCTTGGTGGAGGGCAGGGAGGGCGCGATGGAGGAGGCCGATGGAGGCTGGGCGCCTTGTGCCCACGGGGCGCGCGGAGGAGCGGCTGCAGGAGGCTCCTTTTCCAGCAGAGCCCCCCAGCGCGGGTCGCCCGTCCCCGTGCAGGGGAAGCCGTGTCAGGAGGACCCCCCTGCGCCCCAACCCTGCTGCCCCCCGGCCGCCTCGCCCTGCCCCGCAGCGCGTGCGCCCGGGCTCCGCGCCCGGGGCCCGTCCCGTTGCAAAGGTGTCTCTGTGGTTCGTGACCGTGGGGTTGTCGTGTGTGCGGTGCAGTCGTGTTGGTGAGCGTCGTGTGTACAGTCGTCGTGCGGTGTACGGGCGGCGGGCGGGCGGGCGGGGGTCCCGGCTGTGCCCCCCACGTGCACACAAGGCAGCGGGACCCAGCGAGGGGCGCGCGGGGCCGGGCTCCGCTCCGGCCACCTCGCTCTGGCTCCGGCACCGGCTCCGGCAGCGGCAGGAGAGAACGGGGCTCTCCCCGCTCCGTGTGCCCGTCCACGCCGGGCAGCCCCGTCCCGGAGCCCCTGGGGGCGGGAGGCGTCCGTGCCCGTCCTGCCCGCAGCGCGGAGCCGGCGTCTCGGCCCCTTCTGCCTCGCGCGGCCGTCCCGGCCCCTTCGTTCCCCGTATTTATAACTGTACAGGCTGGGGGGAGGGTGTCTGACAGGCGGCATCTCTCACCACACATCTATCGTAGGCGATGGTAACTTTCTTGGTTGTGCTATTAGAGTTTGTGTATGTGGCAATGTAAAGAACTGTGTATAGTGCATTGTACAGCATATTTTCATGAATAAAATTGTTTTAAATATTACAAGGCCGGGCTGCTGGCATTCAGTGCTTGCCTCGGGTGATGCTGCCAGGGGCTTTGGAGGAGCCACCGCCCCAGGTGCAGAGCCCCACGCGTGCCCCAAGCGCCCCACACTTGTGCAGTGCTCCTGGGGCTGCTGGCTGCAGTTTGCAGGAGTCAACGCGGACAGCCAGGAGCTGCCTGTAGCCCCTCGCACCCCAGTGTCGCCAGTTAAGCTACTGCCCCTAGCTGCTCTTGTAGGCAGCGGGTATTTTTTCTTTTCTTTTGGGGAGCTAGCACTGTCCCCATGCCAGACCTCAAGCACCATCTTCTCCCGATGGGGACAATTCCCGAGAGGTCCAATTCTTCTCCACTGGTGGACTTTGTTTTTGTTTTGTGGCACAGGGGCAGGGTGGGAATGTCTCACCCGTCTTCCCAGCGGCCCCTCATGCTTCCCCAGGCCGTTTCCCGCGGGGCAGTCCTGGACAAAATGATGAGAGGGAAGGAGAGGGCTCAATTACCAACAACTTCCCTGTGAGACAGTGTGACTGAAGAGGAACGTAACCACCACAGGCCAGGACGTCCTTACGGAAAACTGCAGTTCCTGGCACAGCCCGGAGCTGGGCTCTGCGTTGGCCTTTGCCTCACGGGAGCTTGGCACTGCCCAACGTTACGGGGTGCCGTGGGGACAGCGCCTGTCGCGCGGTGACCCCGAGCTTTGAGCTGGGGGCAGCTGCAAGGCAGAGCACCTTGGCACTGACAGCCCCACGTGCAGAGCGCGGCGAAGAGGGGAGATGCCGTCGCAGCCCCCCTCGTGCCGTGGAGCCAGGCACCTTCTGCTGGCGCTGCCAGCCGGGAGCAGTGAGTGGCAGACAAAGCAGGTGCCCGTGGCTCGTGCAAGCGCAGACAGGCAGGTCTGGCCCTTGCGCCCCTGCTCCCAGCCAACTGAACGCAGTCGAGAGGAAGCCGGTGCAGATGAAGGTCCACCTGTCACAAGGGGCCCATGTGTGCTCGCGCGCTGGCGCCGCGAGTGATGCTGTCATGGGGCATATGGGCCTCCCGAGGACCTGGCACGCTCTGCTACGGGCCGTGACGGAGCTCTGTGCACCCCGGCAGCTGCTTCAGAGCTCACCAGCTTCCACAGGAGGGCTCATTCCTGGGAGGGGAGGTTGGAAAAGGGCTTTCTCTATGGGGTTGGGTGGGATTTGTTGCAGAAGGGCCTTTATGAGAGAGAGAAGAAGAGGGGTACTTGGTCTTTGGGTTTTCAGGAGGTGTCATTTGCCAGGAGACTGCTATGGGACACAATATGGCATGCGCAGTCCAGAGCGGGCCAGAATGTCAACAGGATGTTATCTGGAGAAAGTAACTGGGAATCAGGTGATTTTCATAGGTTTCCACAAGAATTTGAGCTTGACCTAGATCTTCTCAGTATTACTCCTAAGCACCATAACTTTTATTCACATTGCCCCTTTCCTTGGGCAGTGGTAGTCCTGTGGCTGCAGTTTGATGCAAAGTTCTCCTGGTTCTGCTAACTACCTGCTAAATCCCCAGCCCTGCAGGCTCGCTTCTCGTCAGGGGCTCCATCAACAGAGGCAGACCCCTGGTCACCTCCACTGGGACACAGACGACCCACTCTGACCAACATATCCTTCTCATGCTGGTGGGATGTGCTACAGGAGGGTCCTCCTTGGAGTCCTGCTGCGGTATTTCTGTTCTGGGCTGCCCTATAGTCTGCCATTGCACAACAAAACCCATGACTTATCCAGTCTGAAACCAACTCATGTGAGCCACTTGGATTTCATATTTTTGTGAGAGAACATCACATGGTACCCAGGTGACCTGTTACTGATTCATGTATCCTCAATGAACCCCTCTCCCTCACTAGGGAAACTTGTAATCCTGTTTAAAGAAAAAAAAAAGAAAGAAAGAAAGAATGAAAAAAAAAAGTAAAAAAAAAAAAAAAGAAAAAACTCAGGAAGAAAGACATCAAGTTGGTTTGACAGGATCTGTTTTCCATAAATCCCCGTTGATTGGCATTAATTATATCACCCTCTCTGATTTTTTATTCATTGCATTCCATATCAGCCGTTCC